CCACTTCTATAAGTCGAAAGGAGACTGCGACCATACCCGAGGCCACAACATCTTGGTCTTCACATCTTGGAATTTGACTGTTTATTATCATCGTTATTACTAACATAGACTTATACCCATAAAGTTATACCACAGATATGAGAAGCAGCAACTTTCAATAGGCATGCACTGCTCAATAATTCCTATCGCTATATTTATAATAAGAGCATGCTTTGAGCTGTGAACGCACAGGATCTGAATTAGAATGCTATTGAATATGCCGCTGATACTTTGATGTAATAAATTAATATGCTAAATCTCTTAAGGCAAAATTGAATAAAGCTTCCAAATCATTCGTGAGTCCCTCATCTATCAAACTCTTAAATATTTGACTAATGAATGACATGGTCTAAGTATAAACAAATAATGTACAAAACAGGCTTAACACCTCAAATAATTTAGTCCAGATTAAGTAAGTTCCTATGAAAACTTGTAAATTTCATATTAGCTTTGAAAGGTTGTTTTTACAAGCTACCGAGTATAGTAGATGAACTCAAAATGAATGAAGTGAGTTGCAGCTATCGGAGTCACTCCGACTTCTGATAACCCTATAAGCCATCCTAGTCCTGAGGACATTTAACTCACTTTAAACATCCTGATTTTACTGTATTCAAAGTGTAACAAAGCGCATCCGAAGGGATGGTGCAACTAATAAAATTAGTATAAAAATGCAATCAATCATGAGCAGTTAAAAATTATGCTCCTAAAATGCTAGAAAAACCAATATGGAAAAAGCAGCGGATGCTTCTCCTATCGTCCTTACTTATGCTAGTATAAAGTACATGTGGAGTTTGTTGCCAACTTATAATCACGAAATAAATTTAGCAAATGTGTCATGCTTTCTTAATTAAAGAAATGTTTGACAAGCAATGGAATAAAATACTGTTTAAATCTTGCCAAAAATAATGTGGTAACTACACAATATTGAAGCTAACAGAGCCTATAAATGTGCATCGTTGTTTGGAAAAAAAGTGGCAAAAAGTAAGTGGCAAGATAGACGAGCAAACAATATAACAAGAAGATTTGCTACTTTTTTTTTGATATAGTATCGATGTACACGAATATACCGATAAGTGAGGCCATACAGGCATTAGGATTAACTTTAGATCTACATCCAGATGGGCAAGGAGACAATCATGCGATTAACGAACTT